CAGAATGTTTCATCTATATTTTCTTTTAGGAGGTTTATAGTGTCATCTTATATTTAAGTCTTTAAGCCATTTTGAGTTTACTTGTAGGTGAGGGAGTGTTCTAACTTCATTTATTTACATGCAGAAATACAGCTTCTCCAACACCATTTGCTGAAGAGACTGTCTTTTCTCCATTGCATATTCTTGCCTACTTTGTTGAAGGTTTATTAATCTTAAGTCTGTGGGTTTATTACTTGGCTCTCTATTCTGTTCCAATGATCCATATGTCTGTTTCTGTGCCAATACCATGCTCTTTTGATTACCATAGCTCTGTAGTATTGTCTGAATTCTGGGAGGGCTATTCCTCCAATTTTGTTCTTTTTCTTCAATATTGCTGTGGCAATTCTGGATCTTTTGTGATTCCATATAAATTTGGGGATTATTTGTTTTAGTTCTGTAGAAAATGTCTTGGGTAATTTGATAGGGATCTCATTAAATCTGTAGATTGCTTTGGGTAGTATTACCATTTTAACAATATCAATTATTTCAATCCAAGAGCATAGAATATATTTCCATTTCTTTAAATCATCTATAATTTTCTTAATCAATGTTTTGTAGTTCTTCACATGTAATTCTTTCACCTCCTTGATCAGATTTAGTCCTAACTTTTGTTTGTTTGTTTGTTTTATGTCTGAAATTTTAAAATGTGTTGTTTCATTATTTTCTTTTTCTGTTATTTCATTGTTCATGTAAAGAAATACTACTGATTTCTGTATGTTAATCTTGTATCCTGCTACCTTGCTGAATTATTTTATCAGCTCTGGTATTTTTTGTGTGGAGACTTTAGGGTTTTCTATATATGTTATCATGTCATTCATATATAGTGACAATTTTACCTCTACTCTTCCCATTTGGGTCCCGTGTATTTCTTTTTCTTTCTTTATGGCTTTGGCTGGAATTTACAATATATGTTGAATAAAAGTAGTGAGAGTGGACATCCTTGTCTTGTTTCAGATTTTAGTGGGAAGGCTTTCAACTTTTCACCATTGACTATTATGTTGATTGTGGGCTATCATAAACAGTTTTTACCATGTTGAGATATGTTCCCTTTATACTCACTTTGGTTAGAGTTTTTATCATAAATGGTTGTTGAATGATATCAAATGTTTTTTTCTACATCTACTGAGATGATCATGTGATTTTTATCCTTTCATTTGTGGATGTGGTGTATCCCATTGATTGATTTGTGTATGTTGAACCATCTTTGTGCTCCTGGGGTAAATCCAGCTGTATTGTGTTGTATGATCTTTTTTTATGTGTTGTTGGATTCTGTTTGCTAATATTTTGTTGATTTTTTTCATTTATGTACATCAATGATATTGGATTGTAATTTTCTTTTTTGGTAGTGTATTTGTCTAGTTTTAGTATCAGGATGATAGTGGCTTCATAGAATGAGTTTGGAAGTATTCCCTCCTCTTCAAACATTTGGAAAGTTTGCGAAGGATTGGTATGAGTTTTTCTTTGTATGTCTGTTAGAATTCCCAAATGAAGCCATCTGGTCCTCGACTTTTGTTTGCAGGGAGGTTTTTATTGATGATTCAATTTCACTTGTAGTGATTAGTCTTCTCAACTGATCTATTTTTCTTGATTCAGTCTTGGTGGATTGTAAGTTTCTAGAAACATCAGTTTCTTCTAGGTTGTTCAATTTGTTGGCAGATAATTGTTCATACTGTTCTCCTATGATTTTTTTTTCATATTTCTGAGGTGTCATTTGCAATTTCTTCATTTTTTTTTCTTATTTTGTTTCTGTCCTCTCTATTTTCTTATTGGTGAGCCTGGCCAGAGGTTTGTCACTTTTTTTTAACTTTTTCAAAAACCCAGTTCTTGCTTTGATTGACATTTTCTATTGTTTTTTAATCTCTATTTTACTTATGTCCTCCCTGATCTTTATTATTTATTTCCTTCTGCTAATATTTAGTTTTGTTTCTTCTTCTCTTTCTAAATTTTTTTAGGTAGTAGAAAAGGATCCCTATTTGAAATTATTTTATTTTTTTTGAGGAAGACCTGAATCACTATGAACTTCCCTCTTCAGATTGCTTTTGCTCCATCCCATAGAGTTTGTGTGGTTGTGCTTTTAGTCATTTATCTCAAAGTACTTTTTTAATTTCTTCTTTGATTTCATCCTTGGCCCATTGATTTTTTTAGTATCATGTTGTTTAGTCTCCATGCAGCATTTTTCTCATTTATTTTTCTGTGTTTGATCTCTAGTTTCATGCCATTGTGATGAGAGAAGATACTTGAAATAATGTCTATCCTCTTAAATTTGTTGAGGCTAATTTTGTGCCTGAGCATGTGGTCTATCCTAGAAAATGTTCCACGAGCACTTGAAAATAATGTACATTCTATTTTGGGGGGGATATAATATCTTAAAAATATCAACCAAGTCCAACTATTCTATTGTGTCATTTAGTATCTCTGTTTCCTTATTGATTTTCTGTCTGGAAGATCTGTCCAATGATGTTAGTGAGGTGTTGAAGTGTCCTACTATTATTGTGCTCTCATCAATTTCTCTCTTAATGTCTGTTAGTATTTGTTTTATATATTTAGGTGTTCCTATATTGGGTGCATATATGTTAATGAGTCTAATATCCTCATCTTGTATTGTTCCTTTGTTCATTCTATGGTTTCCTTCTTTATCTTTCTTTATGGACTTTGTTTTAAAGTCTATTTTGTCTCATATAAATATTGCTACTCCTGCTTTCTTGTCATTTCATTTGCATGAAATATCATTTTCCATCCTCTCACTTTCAACTTATATTTGTCCTTCATCCTAAGGTGGATCTCTTTTAGGAAGCATATTGTAAGCTCTTGTTTTATTTTTCAGTCTGTCATTCTATGTCTTTTGACTGGAGTATTTAGTTCATTGATCTTTATGGTAATTTTTGGTAGATGTGTGTTTATTGCCATTCTGAACTTTGTTTTCCAGTTGATTTGGTATTTCTTCTTTGTTTCTTGCTTTTTCTTTTTGTGGTTTCATAATTTTCTTTTTTATTAGCTGGGTTTCTTTTTTTTGTGAGTATAATATGCTTTTGATTTGTGATTTCCTTGTTTTTCAAGTATGTTAATGCATTACTATATCTGTTTGCTTCTAACTGATAGTCCTATAGGCTCAAACATATCCTAAAATGGACGACAGCAACAACAAAATCAATATTTTCTTGCTGCTCTATCCCACACTTTATGATTTTGATGTCCTCTTTTATATCTTCATGTTTATTCTGTTTCAACTTATTGTAATTATCACATTTCTAACTATGGTTTTCTCCTTTTTATGGCTTCCTATTTTTCTATTTAGAGTGGACATTTCAAAATTTCTCTTAGGACAGTTTTAGTATTACTGAATAATTTTTGCTTATCTGTGAATTTCCCTATCTCTTCTTTTATTCTAAAAGAACCTATTCTAAAGATTCAAGACTAAATATATCTTGCCACTCTCTTATGGCCATCAAGGTTTGTGTAGAGAAATCAGCTGAAAGCTTATGGAGGTTCCCTTGTAATTAACTCTTTGCTTTTCTCTGGGTGTCTTTAGAATAATTTCTTTATCTTTAACTTTGCTCATCTTCATTATAATATGTCTTATTGTAGTTTTATTTCATTCTTATTTGGGACCCTCTGTGCTTCCTTACATGGCTATCTGTTTCCTTCTTTAGGTTAGGGACGTTTTCTTCCCATGAATTCTTCAAATCCCTTCCAATCCCCTTTTATCTTCCTTCTCCTTCTAGGGCACTTATTATGTGTAGATTGGCATGCTTTATATCATTCCATAGGTCCCTTATATTGTTTTAAATGGTTTTTACTTTCTTTTCTGATTGCTCTTCTTACTGGGTGATTTCTGTTATCCTGTCTTCTAAGTCACTTTTTCATTACCCTGCATTACCTGTTTATTTTTGACCACCTTTAGCTCAGTTCTTATCTCAGCCATTGAATTTTCTGTTTTTAATTAGCTTCTCTTTGTAATTTCTATTTCATTTTTACAGAATTCATAGACTCTCTTATTTCCTTTAGTGCTTTTATCATTTCCTTTTTTAAGTCATGATCTAGTAGACTGTCTAGGTCTGTTTAATTTATTGTTCTTTCAGGGAACTTCTCTTGTTTTTTTTAAGTGGGAGTGGTTTCTCTGCTTCTTCATTTTACCTATATTTCTCCATCTCTGTGGATTTAGGATTATCAGTTATCTACTGTGGTCTCAAAGGACTTTTTCTTTAAGTTGGAGCATTCCTCTGTAGATTGTGTATGTCTAATAATTTTGTTGAGAGGGCTGTTCTTAGTATGGATGTTTACCACATCTTTCTTCCACATGTGTTGGTTGTTATCACTATGATTGTGGGTGTGTTTGGTGTTACGGTGATCAAAGCCTGCCCTGGATGTTGAGCAGGGCCACCTTTCTGTTCTGTGGTTGTCACTGCCCTGATGGGCTGGATGTCCTCTCCTGTTGTTGGAATTGAGGCTTCCAGACCTGTATCTGAGCTGTGGTGTGTGATAAGCGTTGTTGGATCACTTCAGCTAGAAGAAGAGTCACTGAGTATTCCTCCAATGGAGTAGTCCACTGGGAAGTGCCCTCTGTGGTGTTGTCTGTCAATTGTTATGTGGGCTTACAAAGTAGTCTTTGTTGATGGTGCCTTTGTCCTTGACTCATCCATGGGAATGTCAGCAACCCACTCAGGTGACCCCCAAGTTCTGTGCCCACAGAGCCACCACTGTCAGACACTAGGAACTGCTACAGGGTCAGTGAAAATCTTAGCTCTGTGTCCATATATGGTATGCAGGCCCACTGCAAATGCTAGATCCACCCTCACTGTGCCAGAACTCCACTTGTTACCTGTTACTCTTAGAAGCATGGGTCCAAAAAGGCACTGCAGGGCAAATTGGTCTCCTCTGCCTGGGGCTGTAAACAAATCTCAGTCCCACCTATGAAGTTGCTGGATAACTAAGTGTGAATTCAACTTTTAGCACCTCCTCCACCAAAGAGCCATGCACCAGTGATTGTGATGGCTATAACTGAGACCCACCTCTCTTCTAGTGAGAACATGCCAACAGTGGTGCTGAGAAGGCCCTCTGGGCTTAGCAGAGAGTGTCTATGTCCTGGCTGTTTTGCACCCCTACCCCACCAATGCACAGCAGCAGTGTTTGTTTTTTTTAATGGTGTCCCAGGCTGTTCTGTTCTGCACACACTCCCAGCTATAGCTTCCACCACACTCCAGCCCCCTGAGGCTGTCTCTGCACAGTCAACCCCAGCCCTCTTCCAGGGCTTGTCATTGAACTCCAGCAGCCAGTCCCAGCCTGCCCATGCTGGTTTGCATATAGAGCTGGGGATCATAGGGACCCTTTCTGCTGGTTTCTCTTAGTTTCATCTGCCAAGCAGCTGCTATTTTCACTTCTGAGCCTCAAAAGCTCCTTCTGTCCCTGCTGACCTCCCTGCTGGAGAGGGACTGTCCCAGGGTGAGGGAGACTTTCTTCCTTTGCCACTCCTCCCTGTCCAATGTCTTTTTTGGTATTTTTTTCTCCTAATTTTTTTTTTTTTGTGGGGGATCTTCTTGTATTTCAAAGTAAGAGATATTCTGCCAAAGTTCAGTAGGAGTTCTGTGAAAGTGGATGGGTCTGTAGATGTAATTTTTGGCGTATGCATGGTAGGGATGAGCTATATGTCCTTCTAATCCACCATCTTGATACTCCTCTATCTATACCTACTTGATTGTGATTATTATATGGTAGACTTTAGAACAACTAGCTGTGTGTTATGCCTAAGATTTACGCAACATAGCTGAATCACTGCCATTAATACTATCATCTCTGGGCCTTCAAAATACATTTTAAAATCTAAAATTATAAAGACAGACCAACAAAGGCCAAAGCCAAATCTTAAAAAGGAAAGAAGATTGTGAATATAGAGCTCACTAAAAACTGTACTAATGTTGCTGAATCTTAAGCATTCATATGTTCAGTCAACATTTAATGGCCACATGCTATGATCCAGATACCTGAACAGGCTCTAGAGTATAGCAGCTAACAATACAAGTATGATCTCTGCTTTCATAGAATTCAGAATTTAGAAAACAAAAGAAGAAAGACATTGAACAAATTATTAGATTTTCAGTAATGGTGAGGAAAAAGACAGAGATCTATGTAATACTATGACAGGGGAACAAAATTAGAGTGAAAATTAGAGAAGACTTTGAGAAAATGATACTTAAACTGAAGAACCACGAGTGAGATTTATAACCACCCAGTAAAACAGTATTATCCACACAAAAACTTCTACCAAAAGGAAAATATCTCATGTTCAAGCTTCTCTCTTTCTGTCTCCCATTTACTAAACCCATCTAACTGTCCCATGCTCCCCAATAGACAAAGCTACATGAACTTATATTTAAAAAACAAATGACCAATCATTCTTCACTGGAGTATTTGCAACCAGAAGATAAATTAATCCAGTCCATTTTAAATATCTGCCTTACTTCATATCATGAGTATTGATATTGATTAACTGCCTGCCATTCACCTTTCACTTCTGTCCTTTTCCCATAATGATGAGAATTAGTCATGGTAGATTCAGTGATGAGCTTTCATGGCCATGTGATTGATTTTTGTCTGTGTATATTTTGAATCATTTTTGGCACAAATATAGCTGATGGAATACTTCTAAAAACTCGCTCTAATACCTGAAGTTTTAAGCTTGAAATTTCAGTGATAGAATACTCTCAGCTATTTGACTTTTTTAGTTCTTATATTAGCAGAGGTTCTATAGTGAGTGTGTTTCCAAATTTGATGGATTCAGAAGTAACATTTGTAAAACATGCATAATGATGCAATATAGCTCAATTTAGGAGACATTATTGAGCTGCCACTAGTATACACAGCACCATTCCAGGTGTAATGAGAGACTGAAAGATAAAAATAACATGGTTTTTACATGAAAGGATTTTCTTGATTAAGATTTTTGGCCTCTGTAAATTTTTAGTAAACTGGTGGATTTACAACCTCAGGTGATTTCAATGAGTATGCATTTTTGTACTAATCTTGTAAAGCATCTCATAATCTGTGGATTACCATACTGTCATTATTTCTTTGCTTTTATTTATTTTGGATTTAATTTGATCTTTGTCTACACCTTCAGCAGTTGTTGGCCAAGAATGCTGTAGAAATGTGAATTAAAGTAAGTAAATTGAATGTATTGTTTAATATTTTTGTATCCCTATTAATTTTTTATCTCTGTCCTGTGAACATCATAAAGGAGTATTTTTTTTGAAGGACAGTAGGTTACAATGTGTCAATTTCTTGTGTACTGCACAATGTGCCAGTCATGCATATACATATGTATATTCATTTTCATATTTTTTTCATTAAAGGTTATTTCAAGATATTGAACATAAATCCTTGTGCTATACAGAAGAGACTTTTTTAAAGCTATTTTTATATATAGTGACTAACATTTGTAAATCTCAAACTCTCAAATTTATCCCTTTCCACCCCCTTTCCCTGATAATCATAAGATTGTTTATTATGTCTGTAAGTCTGTTTCTGTTTTGTAGATGAATTCATAGTGTCCTTTTTTTCTTTTTTTTCCCCAGCTTCCACACATGAGGGATACCATATTGTATTTTTCTTTCTCTTTCTGGCATACCTCACTTAGAATGACAATTTCTAAGTCCATCCATGTTGCTGCAAATGGCATATTTTATTCATTTTTATGGCTTAGTAGTATTTCATTGTATAAATATACCACAACTTTTTTATCTAGTCATCTGATGATTGACATTTAGGTTTCTTCCATGTCTTGACTATCATATATAGTGCTTCTATGAACATTGTGGTGCATGCAACTTTTTGAATTAGAGTTCCCTCCAAATGTATACCCAGAAGTGGGATTGCTGGTAATCTATTTTTAGTTTTTTGAGGAATCTCCATACTGTTTCCCATAATGGCTTCACCAAACTACATTTCCATCAACAATGTAGGAGGGTTCCCTTTTCTCCACACCCTTTCCAGCTTTTAGAGGAATATTGAAGTGTCCAATTAGATTTGTGGACTTGTCAGGGTTTCTTCTTTTTAGTTAAGTCAGTTTTTGCTTAATGTAATTTGAAGCATTGCTATGGGATACACACATATTTTAGACATGTCTTCCTGATGAATTGACTGCTTTATTATTATAAAATGACCCTCTTTATTCCTGGTAATATTCATCTTTCTGACACTTACTTTGTCTGATATTAAAATAGTCATGCCAGCTTTAGGATTAATAATTCTATAATATATTTTCCCATCCTGTTTTCTCAGCTATGTCCTTATTTGTTTTTAGGGGTTTTTATTGTTTTTTTTGTAGAAAGCATATTATTCATTTTTTTCTTTTTAATCCAATCTGATAATCTGTTTTTTAATTGAAATGGTTGTATCATTTACATTTAGTGTAATTATTGATGATTGATTTAAATTTATCATGTTGGTCTTTGCTTCCTAATGATACAGCTTTTTATTCCTTTTTTGTCTTTTATGACATTTTAAGATTAATTGTGAAGTTTTATGACTCTTTATTATACAAATGCTTGGCATATTAGTTATGTCTATTTCTTACTGATTTTTCTATGTTTATAATATCCATTTTTAATTATTACCATCTATTTTCAGTTATACCAATTTATAGTATAAAAACATATTCTACTTCCATACCCCTCTTTCCATCTTTTGTACTTTTGTTTTGCTTTAGTATATGTTATAAATCCCATAATATATTGTTACAATTTTACTTTAAGTGATCAAATGCCTTTGACCAAATTTTAAAAAATGAGACAATTAAAAAAATTATCCACACATTTATCATGTCTAATACTTTTTATTTCTTGGCTTAGATCTAAAATCATTTTCTTTCTCTCATACTTTCTTATCTGAAAAAAATTGTTTTTACTTTAATTTTTGAAAGATAATAGTAGCTAGAAAGATATAACTTTATAAAGATATAATAGAAAGATAACTAGTATAGAATAGTGTGTTGGCAAATTTTTCTTTTTCACCACTCAGCATTTTAATGTTATCACTCTTTTATCTTCTAGCTTTTAGTTTCTGATGAAAAGTCTATGGTAATTATCTTTGTAACTTGGGAGCTATTATAACTTTTTATCTGGGTAATTCAAGGCTTTTTAAAGTTTTTTTAGCAGGTTTTCAGAAATTTCATCATAATGTGTTTGGTGTAGTCTTCTTTTTTTAATACTGCTTCAGGTTCTTTAAACCCTTTGTATCTATGGTTTCCAATTTTTCCAAATTTGGAGAAAAAGATCTCAACTATTATCTTTCAAATATTTTTCTTCCACTTTTTTTCCTTGGAATTCCAATTATTCATATGTTAAATTGTTTGATATACTCCCACAGATCACTAAGAATTTTTCTCCGTGTTTCAACCTATACAATTCAGTTGATATTTCTTGTAGTTCACCAACATTTTACTTTTGTTATTCTTACACTTTATTCTTTAATGTTTAATCAGCTAGTAAACAAATGCAGTGAAAGTATTATTTCAGAAATTTAATTTTTAGAATTTTAAATTTTATTTTTAGAATTTTATTCTTTTTTAAAAACAATAAATCCTGGTCATATTGAACATATTTCAATAGCTCACTTAATGTCTTTGTTTGTTGATTATGTCATCTCTCTCATTTCTGTTTATGCTGACTCACTTTTGTGGGGCCAACTGATGTCATTACAAGTCCAATGACCCCCATTCCTGGGCTCTCATATGTCTGCCTGTAATCCCTCAACAGATAAAGTAGATTCTTTGCTGGGTGTGTTTCCCTGCACAAGCTAATAGTCCTAGGTAATGCCTAATCTCACAATTGCTGAAGCTGGCTTGTTTCAGAGTTCACCTTATTAGAGTCATACACTTTACCACCCTTAATGGACCCTAAACTTCTTACTTCACCTACAGCCAATCAGAGACTTGTATACAAGCCATTTAGTCACCTTGTGACACTACCTTATAAAATACCCCAATAACTGGTCCTCAGTGCTCACACAGGCACCTCTCATTGCTGTGGCCTGCTGTTGTCTATGGCAGCATGCCCTAATAAACTCATTTGCTATTCTCATTTTTTATTTCTGGCAAATTCTTTTACCAACCCACATGCCACCAACTTACCGACCAGCCCACATTGTCCCACAACATTTGTTGGTACATACATGGCTAGGACTCTGAGGGAGCCCTTTGGGCTTCTCTCTCTCTCTCTTTCTCCTCCTCACTATGAGAGTCTCCTCCTGGCTTAATTGGATGCTTCTAAGAAGCCAGTTGGTCAGGGCTGACTCCTCTCTCCCCCTGGCTGGATCAGATGTTCTATTCTGGAAACTAGATCATCAAGGCATGCTTCCTTCTTTCCTATTCTACTGTCCTTTCTTCTCTCATATCTTTCTGCTTCTCCCTAACATTTGGGAATTCCCTGAAGTCTTACCAAAGATTGAGGAACCTTGGCTGGGCTACTCTCAGTGGACTCTGAAACTCGGTCTGACAGACCAAAATGACTCCAAGCCCTTAGTGGTGAATGCTCATGGGAAAGTCACCTTATCTTTTTTTGAATGTTCATCTCCTCTATCTCTCCCTTTCTCTATCTCTGGCCCTTTAGGGTCTCTTTGGATCTTGGGTCCAACCACATGGTGCACCTCTATGCCTTCTCTCCACTTTTTGCAGATCATGCTTCCAGATTGGCTGTGCCTCTGGCCTTCGATTACCACACCAGGTAGAAATCACTGGTGGGTGAGTCCCCCATTTTTTTCTTTGCTTTTTGGCCCCCTTTATCACCTTTTTAGCCATTGTACTGGTTTTGGCCCTTGTGCTTGCCAGCTTCTCTTTCTTGGGAGATGCCCAGAGTAAGAGGACATCAGAAGTTTAGTCTTTCTCTTTCTAGGAGGACACCCCAGAATAGAGCCTGTTAGCCTCTCTGTCTCTGGGGTAGAACATCCTGGGACAGAGCCTGTGTTGGTTTTCTTCTCTCCTTTGTTCTTCTATTTCCTGGGACTCACCTAAGGGTTACATCTTAAAATATTGGGATAAGTTTGATCCCCAGAACTTAATGAGACAATGACTTGTCTTTTCTATAACACTGCCTGGCCCCAACACCAACTTCCAAGAAGACATGACCCTTTCATGGGACTCTCAGCTCTAATATAATCTTCCAACTTGATTCTTTCTGTCTCATATTGGCAAATGATCCAAAGTCTCATATATCCAAGCCTTTGCGGCTCTCTCTCAAAACTTAGATCTGGTTCTGTAAGAGAGTGTTTGATTAGAACTTGTACTGGTCAGTTGGTGACAGCCATGCATGTATGTGTTTTATACTTTGTGTTCTGTCTTATGAAATGGAAGATTATGGTTCTGTTCCACCATGGAGCCCACTTGGGCAAATTCTATGTGACTGGATAGATTTTAGTTACTAGCCTGTGACTACGAAAAAGATGGTATTATAATTATATTTTTTAGACTCCAGAGAAACTTGGTTTAGGGAAGCTATTTGAAAATTCTAAAACTGGTTATTTTTGCATATGTGGTTTGGAAAAACTAGCTTAATATCTTTTCAAAATTCTGACCCTGAGAGAAAAAAAACATTCCTGGAAGTAAAAAGATAAGAAATGAGACAAAAGTCAAGTGCAATATATTGCCACTGCCACTGCTCATTCTGTGCCAGGATCAGAGGTATGGCTCCAGAAATAATCCAAAGCCCACCAATCCTTTCATCATTCCCCAAACCTGTCCTATTTATCTTAAGTATCTTAAAAAGAAAAAACTGCTGTAGGGATGCTGGGGCCCCATAACCCTAGACTGATTGACACTATAGGCAAGGACAGCACACTACCCACAGTTCAGCAGGAAGTAGATATGGAAGATGAGACCTTCACCATTGTTCCAAAGATTTGTCACTGCCAATCTGTCAGGGGGAATGTGGGACCAACTGATGTTCTTTAAAGTTTGCTTGTGATCCCTCAACAGATAAAGTAGATTCTTTCCTGGATGTGTTTCCCCTAACAAACTAATGGCCCTAGGTAGTGCCTAAACTCACAATAGCTCAGGCTGGCTTGCTTCAGCCCATGTTATCAGAGTCATAGATCCCACCGCCCTTCATGGACTCTAAACTTCTTACCTCACCTACTTCTTACCTCACCTACAACCAGAGGCCTGTGCACAAGCCAATTAGGCATCTTGTGACCCTGTTACTGGGAAAAGGGAAATAAGGATTACCTTGGTTCTTAGGCACCCGCAAAAAATAATTTTTGACCAGAGACAGAAAGCATGATATAAGCAAGATTTTTATTAGTGAAGTAAAAAAAGTAAAAGATAGTACACTCCCAAGAATTGGGAGTGGGCCCATCCAAGAGAGGAAAAATGGCACCATCCCCTAATTTCTCCTGTTTTTATATCCTGGTTTTATGATTGATTAATTGATTGATTGACAAGTCAGGTTCCATGTGCTCTGGTTAATTGACAGGTCAGGTTCCTTGTGTTCTGGATGGTTTCTTTCCCCTTCCTCTCCCCCTGCCATGCTCATTTCTAACTAAACTACCTAACATTCTCTCCTCCAGTCATGGGATGCCAAACCTTTGGGACATAGAGGGCAATGACTTCTCTAGCTACTTCCTGCTGATCTGGGGCATTGGTGGGGCTGGCTTACTGGGGTCTCAGACCAGCTGGCTATCACTGGGTATTTGGTGAGTAAAGGGTCAATGTCCATCAAGGGGCTTATATAAAGCTGTCTTGGTTGATTGCTTGCTTACCTTGTTGTATAGCCATTTGAAGTTCATCTCTAGATGAGAAAAAACACATTTCATAAGAAGATTGAAAAGATAGAGGTCAAATATATAGAGCTAATTCTAGCCAAAGGATGAAAGGGGCAAACAAGGGTCATACCTACTTAAACAGAAAAAATAGTCTTTAAAAAATTGATTTCTGTGTTTTCTATTGGTTTAAGTGTTAGAAGGCAGATGTTAGAGTGTTAGTCCAATGAACTAAAGGTGGAGTAAAAGAGGAATTCTAATGTTAGAGACATTTTAAATTAGTATTAAAACAGTTTGGGGGGTACCTAAAAGAGAAAATATTAGATCCAGTAGAGATTTAAGAAAAAGGTTTATCTAATAGGGATCCATAGTCCCCTAGGGTGATGGAAAAGTCTCACCAGAGTGTTGCTTGAAAAGCAGTCACAGATCACTAAGAGGTTCACAAGAATATGTGTATTCCATTGGTGAACCAGAGCTCATTAGGATTTTCCAGGGGTTGATCAGTGAGATCAGTTCTAGCTCCTAGAGAAATGGATAGAGTCTCATGACATAGGTGAAAGGGAAGAGACTCATCTGGTGATGGTAATAGTGTAGCAGGATTGAGTGTCCCACAAATGGAGACAGTGACATCTAGGTTTTCAAGCATCTGGGAGCCAGAAATGTCCCTTGACTTTTAAAAGATCAGATACTTGATGGTTAGTGTATGCTTGTATAGGTGTCCCCAGGGTTAGCTTAGAAGCTTCCTCCAGGAGAGTGGAAAGGGCTCCCAATACTCTTAGGCAGGAAGGCCAGCCTCTACCAGTGGGATCTAGCCACTTGGAGAGATATCCCATAGGCTGTTGGATAGGACCCAGCCATTGGATGAGGACTCCCAAAGCTATTCCTCCTCTCTCATGAACATATAAGTGGAAGGGCCTTGTGATATCTGGAAGCCCCAAGGCCAGGGATCTT